CGGCGGCTGCGGAAGGGACCCGGGCTGCGTGGACGCGAGCGCCCAGGAGCCTGCGAGCCATCGGGCCCCGGCGGGACTGCCACTCACCGGGCCCCTGGACCCCCAGAGTTTGGAACTGCAGCTGGAGCGCGAGGCGGAGGGAGCCGGGCCCCGGGAGGCCACCCCGGGTCGGCCGCCCCCCGACGGGCTGCTCCTGGACGTGCTGGCCCAGCGACACCCGCCCCCCGCCAAGCCGCAAGTCTTCTGCTCCGTGTACTGCGTGGAGAGCGACCTGCCCGAGGCCCCCACCGCCGAGTCATTGTCGCCGCCAGAGTCCCCACCTCGAGCACCGCCGCCGCCGCCGCCGCCGCCGGGGCCGATTCCCGCCAGCCCGCCGCCCTCCTTCCCCAGCTCTCCGTTGTCGCTCCCGGCTGACCCCCTCTCCCCCGACGGCGGCAGCATCGAGCTGGAGTTCTACCTGGCTCCGGAGCCCTTCTCCGTGCCTGGCCTATTAGGAGCTCCACCCTACTCTGGCCTGGGTGGGGTAGGGGACCCCTACGCGCCCCTCATGGTGCTGATGTGCCGGGTGTGCCTGGAAGACAAGCCCATCCAGCCCCTGCCCTGCTGCAAGAAGGCGGTGTGCGAGGAGTGCCTCAAAATCTACCTGAGCTCCCAGGTAACTTCCACGGCTCTCTCTGCCCACTTTCAGCCCATTCACCATGCCAGAGTACTGGTGAGGAGGCTCCCCTCTAAGCTTCCTAGCAAGGGAAGAGGTGACAGGGGCCGCTTACCCAGGGCCTCTAGCAATGGCTACAGCCTTGTTATTAAGTGTGTTTTTTACCCACACTGGTTTATTGGCTGGTTGACTCTGCCCTGAGCTTCAGGTTTTGGTTGGCAGTCGCTGGAGGAATGAGGTGGATTGCCCTCTGATTATTTCTTCTGTAGATTGCATGCAAGAGCTTGCTCCAGGGAGAGCAGGAAAGGCTGCCTCACTGGCCTGGCATCCCAGAAACTAACAGACAGTGAGCATAAAATAAATATTTGTGGAGCTGGTGAAGAGGAGGGTTTGGGATTAGTGTGTCAGGGCTGTGATACCTGCATTTTAATTGTGTTCCCTTTACATATCGAAAGGCGTGTAAACTTAAAAAAAAATTAACTCTTGCCCGCTTCTCAGTTTTCCACACTAAAGTTCAAGTACTTTTCTCTACTGAAATTTTAAGCCTACACAGTACTTTTATTTCCTCAAGAGAGACACAAAAGAGAAGGAGCCAAACAAAGCAGGGCGAGAGAGAGAGAGAGAGAGAGAGAGAGAGAGAGAGAGAGAGAGAGAGAGAGAGAGAGAGCAAGAAGAGGTTTTTAACCCAACAGGCGGCTGCGGAACTTTCCTCCCCTCCACCCTCCTTCGGAGAGCTTGTTGGTTTTTTTTCTTGGAAAGCTTGAGAAACAGAGCAGCCCTCCTTCATGGTTTTCAGTCTGCGGTGGTGTTTCTGCCAGTGTTTTGCACAATCCTTAATGCCCTTTGATCCCGTGTCTGATTGTCCCAGGCCTATTCATCTTTCAAAACCCTGTCTGTTCAGGTGCCAGCTCTGCTGTGACGCTTTACCTCATCCTCCGGGCCCCTGCCTGATCAGATATTTTTAAAATTTGTCTTCCAACCTTTCCTGCCCTGAAATTGTTCCCTTCCTGCCTGCTTGTCTGGCTAGACTGTCTGGATGTCGATTTACAGTCTGAGTTGGGTTGTTTCAGATGATAGTGTCTGTAGACTGGCTGGATTCAGTGAGCCAACCAGGGTCCTCCACAGTGTGGTTGCTGTGTAGTTTGTGGTCGGTCACTCCATGGCTGGGGTCTGGTCTGAAAGTGCGTACTGTGCCCCACTGGAAATGGGAAGAAAGACTTAATACAGACTGGAATGTTACACAAACAGGAGCTTACCCCGAATGGCTGAGATTATTCAAACGCCCCGGAGGGAGACACCGTGGTGTCTGTTTTTAGGATTTATCCGCCAACGGAGACTTAGAGCAGGGGGAAGGCTGCCTGCTTGTTTGTGGTCGTTTCTATGACATCACCCTCGTGGAGATAGTGCTGCCATTCCTGTGCAGGGCCTTGTGGTGGGACTCCGACATTACCAAAATATGGGCCTTGCTCCAGAGAAGTCACGGAGAGAGCAGATGTGTTCAAAACATAGTACACAGTAGCATCCAGTGAGCTGTAAACACTAATACCAAGCAGCGCCTTTATTTACTTATTTGTTTATTTATACGCAGGATCTTGCTGTGTAGCTCAGTCTGGACCTTAAACTGGCTAAATACCTGAGGTTGGCCTTGAATCTTTTAAGCCTATGGCCTTCACTTCCTTAGTTCCCCAGCTCCAGCCCTTACCTACTACCTGCCAGATATAACCAGCAGCTGGTTTTGAAGTTCAAGGTTGGTACTCCTGGTGGGTTATGCTGCCTAACGGTTTGATTTCCTTACGACGGGGCCCTTTTTGGCCAAAGCAGCTTTCTCTCCTTTTTGTCAGCAAAAGTTAGTTTTAGGAAGTTGGTGTTTGGAGTTGTGATGAGAAGAGGGAGAAGCAGCAAGTTGGGCGAGTCGTCCTTTTAGCACGTACCAACAAAAACCCCTTCCAAGTGACCGCAGTGTCTGAACCGTGGTCTGCAGCCTTTGCGACGACGTCAGCGTCCCTGACCGCCCCCAAAGCAACTGGCAGGACTTTCTCCAGCAAGAAGTAGGCATTATTTCAAATAATCACAGCACGAAGTCCAGAGAGCCAAGCATGCTTCCACCTCAGGGCTGCGTACTTCTTCCCCGGGACTCCGGCTCCCTGTTCCTTTACTTGCTCCATCTATCACCCCCACCTTTGGATCCGTATTCACATACCATCCTTTGTGGTCTTCACTGAGTGTCTTGATATGTGTGCATGTGCACATGTATGCGCATGGGTTTGCAGGTCTGTGCACTCGCACAGAGGCCAGAAGAGGATGCTGGATGCCCTGTTCTAGCGCTGTCCTCTTTACTCCTTTGAGGCAGAGTCTCTCACTGAAGCTGAAGCTTGCTGTTTCGCATAGGCTGTCTGGCTGAGTTTGCAGAGCCCACCTGCCTCTGCTCCCTTAATGTTGGGGTTGTAGGCCTGCGCATCCACGCCTCCCTTGTTTATGTGGATGCCGGCCAGTGAGGCATTTGAACTCAGGTCTTCAGACCTGTGCAGCAAGTTCTTACCAACTGAGCCATCTCCCAGTCTCTGTGACCGCCTTTTAAAAGTTGAGCGTTATCCCAAACTCCCTGTGTCTCTTCGGGGGTTTTAGCTTTTCTACATAGCGCTAATAAACTCTCTTGTTCCTCAGTAATTAACTTTGTGAAGACAGAAGTTTCCATATGATTTTGTTAATCCCTGCCTACTTAGCATATAGGAGGTATTTGCTCAATAGTTATTGAATTTGTGAAGAACCTGAGCTTTTTTTTTTTTTTTTTTTTTTTGGTGTGTGTGGGAGGTTTCAGGGTAGGATTTCTCTGTGTAACAGGCTGTCCTGGAACTCGCTTTGTAGACCAGGCTGACCTTGAACTCATAGAGATCCACCTGCCTCTGCCTCTGGAGTGCTGGGACTAAAGGTGTGGGCCTCCACTTCTGGGCTTGCTCTGAGCATTTTTTTACATTTAAGTTAAAAGACACAGACTTAAAGCAGATAAATGAAATTGGCTACATTTGTTATTGTATCTAAAAGAGCCTAAGAAAACTTCTAGTTTATGAAAACCTAAGTCCTTTTCCACTGGGTGATATACAGGATTGTGGTTGTAATATTTCTAATAGGATCCTGAATTTTAAGATCTGGCCATCTTCATATTCAGAGCTCTCCGTTTCACGGTCATCTGTGCGTGGATCTTCTCATTAGTGAAATTTAACCGTAGATGGTGATCTGTGGTGAACCCACCAGTGCCTGAGTGAAATCCGGTCTAACTGTGTGGTTCCTGCCTTACTGAACCAGGGCAAAAGGGCATTGCAGCTAGGCCTGATGGTACAGATCTATAATCCCAGCTGCTTGGGAGATTGAGGCAGACAGCACAAGTTCAAGGCTTGCTGGGACAACTTTGTGAGTTCAAGGCTGGCCTGGGCAACTTAGTGAGACCCTGTCTCCAGATTTTAAAAAAGGTGTGTATGTGTGGGTGTGGGTGTGTGGGGGGTACTAGAATTATAACTCATTAGTGGAGTGCTTACTTCTGTGTGGCTTTAGGTTTGGTCCACAATACCAAAAACAAAACAGCAACAACAAGAAAAATAGGCAGGGGAGATGGGGAGATGTTGCATGCTTTCCCTTTTGCATTTGATAAGATTTTTAAATTGAATTGAATTGAATTTTTGAGACAGGTTTTTTTTTTTTTTTTTTTTTTGTAGCCTTGGCTTTCCTGCAACTAGCTTTGTACACTAGGCTGGACTCGAACTCACAGAGACCTATCTGCCTCTGTTTCCAGAGTGCTGGGATTAAAGGCGTGTGCCACCACCGTCTGGCCTGATAAGATTTTTGACCTAAGCAAATCTGGCAAACCTGGACTTCCTGGCTGCTTAAAACCTTTGGGGGGAAAAGCATGCATTTAAAGATTTAAAGACCTATTAGTGACGTTTTCACATTTGAGTTTCTGCCATCTGCTTGGTGCATTATTTAACATCATTTAAGAATGTAAAGCAAGTGAGTATTAAACATTTTATACAAACATTAAAAATGCATATTAATTGTGAGCTGGAATCATGCCTGGTTGAGTGAAGTCTTCTGACAGGAGTTGTGGCGTTCTTTGACGGGAGACAGGAATTTGGGAGGTAGAAATACTTTTGGACTTGGAGCAGCAAAGAGTCTTTCAGGGATTGAAGACGTGGCCAAGGGTGATGATGAATAGGTATCAGCAGTATTTCAGCATAGGCCTCAGCAATGAGACAGCAACAGCATCTCTGTGTTGTGATCGGGTAGGAGAACCCTTGGTGGGATGACTTTGTGGTGTCGTAGTTACCGTGCACTTTCTGAATACCGTGGTGAGGAGTTGAACTGTCGATTAGAATGTCAGTCACTGCGCTTGGCACCGACCGAGAGGTTATGGTACACCAAGACACAGAGAGTGGACGTTACTTGGCTTATATTGCTTAGGTATATGCAGGTTTTGTACATCTGTTTTTAGAAGTGCATTTCCCAATGACATACATGGCTAGCACATAATCTGCAGGACGCCTGCAGTGTCTCCCAGATTCCCAGGGTCTCCAAAGTGGCTTCTCAGCTCCTTTGGCCTTTGACGCATTTTTCTAAGAAGAAAGGTGAGTGGTTGCCATCTTTTCTTTCCAAACACCATCCACAAATACCTTTCCTTCATGACTTTGATTTTGATTGAAAAATGGGTTGTAAATATGAAATATTAACATTTAGTGCTTTGGATAACACAGAGGAAGAACTCAGCCTACCAACGGACTAGCTGAAGGCAGCAGCTGTTGTGGCGTTTAGCACGCTGCTCAGAAGTGCAGGAGATTGGCAGGTGCAGAGGACTTGGAATGTACACACCTGTCCGGTGGGTATTAATAGCAGCAAGCAACACATTTCTTCTACACATTGTGAGGAGAACAGCTGCTACATGGTAATGTCCTAAAGTGACTGCCACTGTAGTCACCCTAGAACCAGTGACCTAGAGGCCAGGAGGAAAAAAT